GACCCGCTGGGCTCCGGCGGTCCTTCCACCTCAGCCTTCCGAGTAGCCGGAATTACAGGCACGCGCTACCACACCCGGCTGATTTTTTGATTTATTGTAGAGATGAGGTCTCGCTGACCAGGCGGGTCTCAAACCTGCGGGCTCAGGTAATCCACTCACCTCAGCCTCCCAAAGGCGCGGGATTACAGGCTGAGGCGCGGGATTACAGGCTGAGCCACTGAGCCCGGCTATGTTGTTGATTTTTTAAAAATCAAAATAAAAGATTATTACAAAAGGGCTTTCCTTTGAAATTGAGTAGTTGAACAGTCACTTAAGTGTCTTCTCTTTATTTAAGAATTTTACAGATATAAACTGTTTTGAATCTTGGACTCAGAATACTTAGTGTTATTTTTTTCAGAAAAGTAATAAATAACAGCAAGCTCACAGCCGCTTTTTATTACATAGTATAAAGAAGTCACACAGTAAGTCTTGTCCTGCTATTCTGCTTGCCAGTATGTGTGGGTTTCTGTACTCCATGGCTGTGCATATTCTATTCCAAATTCTGACAATCAGATGACAAGAATGTGCAGGCTCTCATCACTTGTCTTTAATCCCAATTGCTTCAGCCTAGTATGATGGAAAGAATACTAACTAAGCCGGGCTCGGTGGCTCAGCCTGTAATCCCGCGCCTTTGGGAGACTGAGGTGAGTGGATTGCCTGAGCCCGCGGGTTCGAGACCCCCCTGGGCAGCGAGACCTCATCTCTACAATAAATCAAAAAATCAGCCGGGCGTGGTAGCGCATGCTTGTAATTCCGGCTACTTGGAAGGCTGAGGCGGAAGGATCGCCGGAGCCCAGCAGGTGAGGCTGCGGTGGCCGGGAGCGGCCACTGCACTCCAGTCTGGGCAACAGAGTGAGACTCCAACTCAAAAAAAAAAAAAGAATATTAACTAGCCTGGAAGTTAGAGACCCAGATACTGATCCTAGTTCTGTCATAGATATGTTACAAAAAAGTTTACATGCTCAAGACTTCTAATAAACCCTTCCATCAAGGCATTGGGCTGCTTCCCTTCATATGGTTATTAAAGGCATACAAAATAACTACTCTAGCCAGGTGTGGTAGCTCGTGCCTGTTACTTGGAAGGCTGAGGCAGAAGGATCGCCAGAGGCCAGCAGGTCGAGGCTGCAGCGGCAGGGAGCAGCCACTGCACTCCAGTCTGGGCGACAGAATGAGACTTCAACTCAAAAAAAAAAAAAAAGAAATAACTACTCTACGTCATTACCTAAATTAACATATGCTCAATTTAAACTTTAAAATTCATAGAAAAGCCAATAATAAACTTGTTGAATTTAGAACCATAAAAGATGAGGCCAGGAAAAGATCCTCAACCATCTCCTTTTATAGACATGGAAGAGGAGATCCAGTGGCTAGGTGGGAAGAGATGTGCCAAAATCATAGAGGTACAGAATAGGTAGTCAAGAAACCTGAGGTTAAATCCCAGGTCTACCACTGATTATGTGATCTTGGTTAAATGCTCAATCTTTTTGAACCTAAGCTTGTTTGTCAGAAATGGAAAATAATCTTGAATTCCTGTCATGAAGATAAAATAAGAGCAGGTATTTAAAAGTTTTCTGTAAACTGGGAAAAATCATTATACAAACTTTGGTTATTAGGAGCCCAAAGTCACATAGCTAGCTGGTAGCAGAGTCAGGATGAGGACCACACATTAAATATTAAGGCAGTATTTTGTCCACTCTGTTCTTTCTCTAACAGACCCTTCTCTCTCCTTCCTCTGTCCTCTCCCTTTACCTATAATGTGTACAGAAAAGCGTAACACTTTGAAACATGATTTGCTTTTAACTCTACCATTTCTATCCTAATTTATTCTCATTTTCATTCATAGTTTAGTAAGATTTAAATAGAATTATGTTTGCAAAAAAACGGTGCTTAAAACTACAGATATTAGCCGGGCTCGGTGGCTCAGCCTGTAATCCCGTGCTTTTGGGAGGCTGAGGTGAGCAAATTGCCTGAGCCCGTGGGTTCGAGACCCGCCTGGGCAGCAAGACCTCATCTCTACAATAAAAATCAAAAAATCAGCCGGGCGTGGTAGTGCATGCCTGTAATTCCAGCTACTCGGAAGGCTGAGGCGGAAGGATCGCCGGAGCCCAGCAGGTCGAGGCTGCGGTGGCCGGGAGCGGCAACTGCACTCCAGTCTGGGTGACAGAGTGAGACTCCAACTCAAAAAAAAAAAAAAAACTACAGATATTTAATTCACTTAATAATAGGGAGGTGCAGGGTTGCATGAGAGTAAATGTTTGTTGAATAGACATGGCTAAAACAGACTAATAAGTCATTAGTAAATGAAAGGGAGCCTAATTTTCACCTTAATTGCATCATTTAAAAAATTAATCTGGAAAGATACCTGACTTTTTAGGCTTAACAACTTAAGGAGCACAATAGGTCATAAAAGTCCTAAATGAAATAATGAATCAAAATTCCCCTCAAGGTTGAAAATCCACAAAAAAATCGAGTCTAGCTCAAATGACAAAGAAAACGTAAGTACTTACAATGCCAGTGTCACACAAAGGATCAAAGGGCCCCACAAATCCCCTAAAAGGCAAGAAAAAATAGAAGGCGGCTCTTAGCAAATGTAGTATTTTCTATCTTTATTCCAATATCCACTTATCCCACTCCTGGGATTCAGACATCAAGGATCTCTTTGTTTGCCCAAGCCTTCCTACCTCTCCTGTCCCACTACCTGCCCTCAATGCTACCTAATCATGAATGCACTTGTTCACATAGCCTTCAAGTTTTGTTCACTTCATATCCCACAAATCTCCCTTCTTCCCATCTACTAAGCCACATACCAGCAAGCTAATTAAAGACCAATGGGCAAACAGTTAGTAGACCTAGGTGCGCACCTCATGCCCTCAGAAAAAGACTACAGCAAAGTCACTTTACTAATCTGAGACTTATTAGACAAGGCAAGTATAATCATGCTCAGTTCGTGAAAATGAAAAATGAAGCTGAGAAGGAAGTGACTTGCCCAAGTTTATATATACATGGAGGTGGGACCAGAACTTAGGTCTTCTGATTCTTAGTCCAAAGTTCTTGCCACCATCACAGTGCTTCCCTTTCATAATTAATACATTTAATTAATATGGAGTTGCTGTTCTTCTAAGTGAAAAAACAGCCCAATAATGGTAATTTCACAAGGTTAAACTTTACCAAATAGCATATAAAAGTTTTCTGAAAACTATAAAAGTCTCTGCCAATATCAGATTTAGCAAACAATGGTTCTCAATCAAAAGTTGTTGAGTGATTAGTATGCTAACAATTCAGTAACACACAGCTTAGAGCACAATTACCTTCCTCAACTAATCTAAAAAAGGTGCATATAGTACATCTAACTTTAACTTCATATGTACATAACTTTGCCCAAGAGAGATATACATATGTACATATTTAATATTGTTTATTTTGAATTCTGTATTTTGACACCATTGCAGAACATTTAGAAAAGATGTAAGAAATCATAATCCTACCACTCTAATAAAACTATTGTTGATCTTATTAACAGTTTTTTAACTTATCAACTGAAAAACTAAGTTCAAGTAAAGTCATGTGCCACATGACGATGTTTTGATCAACAACAGATTGCATATTAGTGGTCCCTTAAGATTATAACAGACACACACCACCACTGCACTCCAGCCTGGGTGACAAGAGTGAAACTCCAACTCAAAAAAAAAAAAAAGATTTAGCCGGGCTCGGTGGCTCAGCCTGTAATCCCGCGCCTTTGGGAGGCTGAGGTGAGTGGATTGCCTGAGCCCGCGGGTTCGAGACCCGCCTGGGCAGCGAGACCTCATCTCTACAATAAATCAAAAAGTCAGTCGGGCGTGGTAGCGCGCGCCTGTAGTTCCGGCTACTCGGAAGGCTGAGGCAGAAGGATTGCCAGAGCCCAGCAGGCGAGGCTGCGGTGGCCGGAAGCGGCCACTGCACTCCAGTCTGGGCGACCGAGTGAGACTCCGACCCAAAAAAAACAAGATTTAACAGAACTGAAAAGCTCCTATTGCCTAGTGATGTCTAGCGAAATGCATTAAATGCATTACTCATGTGTCTGTGGTGATACTGATATAAACAAACCTACTATGCTGCCAGTCATATAAAAATATAGCATATATAATTAAGTACAGTACATAATACTGTACTTGATAATGGTAATACATGACTATATTACTGGTTTATGTATTTACTATACTATACTTTTTATCATTAGAGCGTGCTCCTCTACTTGAAAAAAAAATTAACCAGAAGTAAAATAGTTTCAGGCAGGTCCTTCAGGAGGTATTCCAGAAGGCATTGTTATCAAAGGAGATAACAGCTCTGTGCATGTTAATGACCTGAAGACCTTCCAGTGGGACAAGATGTGGAGATAGAAGACAGTGATACTGATGATCTTGAACTTGTATAGGCCTAGGCTAATGCATGTATTTGTGTCTTGGTTTTTAACAAAAAGGGTGAAAAAGTTAAAAAAATTGTTTAATTTTCAAAATAGAAAAAGCTTATAGGATATAAAAAATATTTTTGTACAACAGTACAACATGTTTGCGTTTCATGCTAAGTGATCGTATAAGAGTCAAAAAGTTTTCAAAAATTCCAAAGTTCTAAAAAAGTATATAAAGTAAAAAAGTTATAGTAAGCTAATGCTAAGTCATTAATTAATTTTTTTGAGACACGTTCTCACTCTATTGTCCAGGCTGGAGTGCAGTAGTATGAACATAGCTCACTGAAGACTCCTACTCCTGGACTCAAGTGATCCTCCAATCTCAACCTCCTGACTGGCTGGGACTATAGGAGCATACCATCATACCCAGCTAATTTTGTATTTTTATTTTTGTAGAAACTGGATCTTGCTATATCGCTCAAGTTGGTCTCAAACTCCTATGGCCTTAAATAATCTTCCCATCTCAGCAGCCAAAGTGCTGGGGATTATAGGTGTGAACCAACATAGCCAGCCAATAGTTTATTTTTACTGACAAGGACAATAAGCAAACTCTTCCAATCTCTGAAATTTCAATCAAAATTTGTAATTTCTTCCCAAAAATTTCATTTACATATCTTTTCATTCTGTAAAATGATATCAGTTTTATTACCACAGAGACTTTGGCCTTATAAAGTACTTATGATAAGGTACAATGAGATGAAGCAAATCCTCAAAAACCTCATATACTTACAGTCTCTCAAAAGAGTATTACTTCTCCTTGGGTACAAAACATGCATGAATTTTTTCCCAACAGCTTTTAGATCACGCATCTGAAAAACATAAACAGCTTGTTGTATAGTGATGATCAAGGTTGCCAGGCAGTCCTCTCATTTAATTTACTAAAATATCTTTTTTTTTTTTTAGTTGGAGTCTCACTCTGTCACCCAGATTGGAGTGCAGTGACACGCTCCTGGTCACCACAGCCTCAACCTGCTGGACTCTGGTGATCCTTCTGCCTCAGTCTTCCAAGTAGCCAGAACTACAGGTGCATGCTACCATGCCCGGCTAGCTTTTTATTTATTGTAAAGACGAGGTCTCACCAAATTGCCCGGGTAGGTCTCCAACGCGTGGGCTCAGACAATCCACTCGCCTCGGCCTCCCAAAGTGCTGGGATTACAGGCTGAGCCAGTGAGCCCAACCTAAAATATCTTTTATTTCAATATCCTGGGAGCTGTTCATTGAATTTTCAAGCTAATTCTAGTTCAACTCCTTCATCATACAAACAAACCAGAGAGGCAAGGTATGCTTTTTCTATTAATTATTTAAGCCAGTTTTTAACATTTTTCCACATCCACCAGTTCTGTTTTGATTTTGAAAACTCTGTAAAAGACAAGCATAGCCCTCTCAATACGTACTTAAAGAAACTAAAACAATAGCACTACAATAAGCTGTTCTTCAAAACATAGTTATATGACATTCAGTTCATATAAGATGAAGTCCCAAGGGTCAATCAACCTGCTCCCCCTAGTTACTACATTTCCTCAATATACAAAATAAATTAAGTTCCAACATTCTCAATGTAACTGGTAAATTAATCCCAAAGCCAGATACCAAACATCAAGACATTTGAGGAAGGGTTCAGTAATGCAAATATAACCTCTCAAAATGCCATTGAGATCATTCTGTCCTAGTTTTTTCTCCTAGAATTGTATCCATATCATTAAAAACTCTTTGTAAATATAACTTTTAATAGTTGTTCAGCATCATTCCATGAGTGTAACATAACTTACTTAATACCAATACCAATAGCCCATCTGTTGTTCATTTAAGCTGTTTTCAACTTTCTCATACAACCAAGAATTGCTATAATGAATATCTTTGTATATTGATATTTTTCTATGTTTTTTTTTTACTTTTAAAATGTTTCTTGTATTTTGAGAAGTATAGTTATTGGTTTAAAAAGATTTGGATGTTTTAAGATTTTTATTTTTTATTTTTTTGAGTTTCACTCTGTCACCCAGGGCTGGGGTACAGTGGTACACACACAGCCACCTCAGTCTCATCCTGCTGGGCTTCAGGTGATCCTTCCACCTCAGCCTTTCAAGTAGCTGGAACCACAGGCATGTGCCATGCAACCAGCTAATTTACTTATTTATTATAGAAATGAGGTCTCACAAAGTTGCCCAGGCTATTCTCGAACCCAAGGGCTCAGGCAACTTTCTCGCTTCCACCTCCCGAAGTACAGTGATTACAGATGCGAGCCACCACTCCCACGTCCATTTTAAGATTCTTAATACCTATCATATCCAAACTGCTCTCCAAAAAAGCTGTACCAAATTATTCTCTGGAGGAGAATCTTAAATATAATATGCTGAAAACTAGTGAACCAAATGAAACTATTGCAAAGTGCCATTAGTTATTTAGTCCCACGATACTGAACAGAAGTTCTCTCAATCAGTGTAACTTACAATGGTATTCCGAACAGATTCATTTAATGTAGAGTTGTCAAATTCCCGAATGCGAGATCTCATAGGAATGGTGATTTCTCCTTCTACAGGTATATCTTGTGAGATAGATATATCTGAAAGGCCTGCAAACTGAGAAGAATCAGAGAAAAAAAATTTAAGCCTGTAATAAGCTGCAGCATTCCTTGGAGATAACATCATTTCCAAGAGCATAGGGACCATGTCTTTTTGTTGGAATTTACACAGTAAAGTAGGTGTTAGCTTAACAGATATTAAGCAATGCAGTTAACTAAAATTCTCAAATATAATTTTATCTAAAAGATAAAATATAATTTAAAAAACTGTTTAAAAATAAATGTCATAGACCCTTTCCTGCCCTCCAGTATTTGGTTTCTTTGAAGTACGAAATCTTCACATGATACAAGCTAGCAAGACTAAGATAATAATCGCAGAGCTATTAAAAAGTGACCTTTTAGAAATCACATCTTAGAACAAACTGCCACATTTCTGTTGCACTTCTGCTCCTTAGTGGGCTCTAGTGGCCTCTGCTGGATAAAAAAGAACATTACATGAATCATAAAAGCAACAGGGAAGAACAGGGAAATAGCAAAACACACCCTGATTACTTTTTTTACGAGATTACCTGGCAACCACAGAGCAAATAAAAATTTCCTTTTTAAAAAAACTTTTGGCCAGGCTTGGTGGCTCAGCCTGTAATCCCAGCACTTTGGGAGGCCGAGGAAAGTGGATTGCCTGAGCCCACGGGTTCAAGACCAGTCCGGGCAACTTGGTGAGACTTCATCTCTATAATAAATCAAAAATTAGCCAGGAGTGGTAGCGCGCGCCTGTAGTTCCGAATACTTGGAAGGCTGAGGTGGAAGGATCGCCAGAGCCCAGCTAGTAGAGCCTGCGGAGGCCGGGAGCGTGCCACTGTACTCCAGTCTGGGCGACAGAGTGAGACTCCAACTCAAAAAATAAATAAATAAAAATAAAAAAAGTTTTACCAAAAAATAATTGTATCCCCCAAAGCTACTGAAATAAAGACAGATAAATATTTCTAATAAGACTATATTTATTAAAATTTTCAAAGTGAATGAAGAATGTGGACTTTTAAAATCTTACGGTCATCTGCCAGATTTGATTATCACAACTGAAACTCTGGAATCTACAAATTCCTAAGAAATAGAAGCAACCCTTTCTCATACAGTATTTGGCCCAGTAGGCATAATTTTTAGTGGGCAACAGTTGCAGGTAAATAGAACATAAGACTGTACATTAAGATTTTAGGAAGAATGAGGTTGTCTAAAGAACTTATAAAAATCAACTTATCAATCATGTTCATAAGTATTTTTTAAATATAAGCAGTAAGCCAGGTCAGGTGTGGTGGCTCACACCTGTAATCCTAGCACTTTGGAAACCCAAAGCAGGAAGATTACTTGAGGTCAGGAGTTTAAGACCAACCTGGGCAAGACCCTGTCTCTACAAAAAAAATTTAAAAATTAGCTGGGTGTGGTGGCGTACATCTGTGGTCCTAGCTATCAGGGGGAGGTTAAGAGGATCACTTGAGTCCAGGAATTTGAGGATACACTGAGTTATGACCGCACCACTGCACTCAAGGCTGGGTGACAAAGCAAGACCCTGTCTCTTAAAAAAATTGTTTTTAGGCTGAGGTGAGTGGATTGCCTGAGCCTGCGGGTTCAAGACCCGCCTGGGCAGCGAGACCTCATCTCTACAATAAATCAAAAAAAAATCAGCCGGGTGTGGTAGCGCATGCCTGTAATTCCGG